CAAGGTCGGTCCCAAGGACCAAGCTGAAAGAGTTAATAAACAATAACTTGTGATGTGTACACCTGGTACGAGGCAGCATCACTTGGAAGGGTGTACGTATCCCACTGAGGTAAGAACGATGTATTTGTGTTATGTGAGTGGCTGACCCAAGCAAACGTTCCATTCAGCAAAACTGACCACTGTCTCCTAAAACAAAAAAAGTTGATAGACATAGGAGATATTAATACAAACAGACACTTCAGAAGACTCGTTAATTAATGAGAGTTACAAAACATTTCTGAAAGTAATTATAAAAAGTATACAGTTCATGTATGGATACCGACATCGTTGATGAATCGAAGAACACAGCAAGTAAACTATTTAAAAATACTTTTCTGATTAATAATCTCTTGGTATTCTAAACTAATGACAGGAGATTTTCAAACAATGTATACCAGTGCCATCATTAATAACTTCAATATTGAAGTGGAGAATAAATATGTAATTAACTATAATTACATAAGTTTTAATTTTACTTTTATTTGTGGCTTTGGTAGTTGGCTTCGACTTACACTTGCTACAAATAAGTTTGATTACCAGGATATTTTATTGTGCGGTCATGGGTAAGACTGACAGGCCACCATCTCGAGGAAGTTTACATAAAGAATTCACTCAAACACTAGGTAACACACAAACATATAGTTTAATTGAACACATTCAATTCTATTACATTGATGCTTTTGAGCAGTTGAGTATTTTTTCAATAATTCTTCTAATTATCTCATTAAATTTTCAAGTTAGGTTAACTCTACTTAATCCTTCAGACGTATTCTAGTGAAAACTTTACTAGACTAGATACTTAAACAAAGTTTTGTTACAAAGGTTTCCACTATCAGTAAGTATGGACATCTTCATTGAAAACTGCAACAAAGTCTGGAAGAAATAGCAGCTGATAACTGGAGTGAGAACTGAACTTTTTCGAAATCACGGTTTTTTGTAGCAATCGAACCCAAAACTACATTCTGTCATTTCCAGCTTTTTACTGTACTATCTTGCACACGTCACAAGTTCTTGTTCTCTGATTTTCTAGAATTTGATGCATCCTTTACTATGTAACATGTGATTGGCCTACAGATGTTCTTCAACATCCACTCAGAACAGCTCAAGTGGCCTACCTAAAGTTTATTATCTTCTCAACTTTGAACTCTTCCCTGGACGTGGTATATGATATTTTTATCCCTAATTCATCCCGACTTGTTAATTTAATAAATAATGTCTGTATGCTGCTGAAGAAAGCAAACCACTAATTTTTAAAACCTCTCGTTACAGTCTTGGAATGTTATTCTAGTAAAACAACGCGTCTTATTGACGTACATTCTTCATTGGCTTATTTGACTGAATAATTCAATTGTTGCATTAATACAGAAAATTTCTATTGACATATTCAATTACTCCCTATTCATTATACTTTTTTCTTCTTCCCTACATTGTTCCATTGAGTGTAATTATTACTAATTATTTCCTGCCTGACAACATCTGATTTCAGTAAATGTACACCAGGTCATTATTACCAACTTCGATACCCAGTGAAGAATAACTATATAGTTAACATATTATAATTACACGTGTTTTAATTTTACTTATTTTAAACATGTGATAAAACATCGTTAATCATTTTGTAAAGTTTTAAGTTACCTCAGAGAGGCTGATGATCCCGTATTTAAATAATTTCCAATCCAAATAGGACTCTTCAGATTTCCGGGCAGCTTCAGTGGTTGCTTCAGAAGATCTGAAACAATACATTAAAATGTTTCATGTGAAAACTGGTTTTGTGATATATGGTTTCAGATAATAATGATTGGTTGTACGGCCAGATTCACAAAGTGTTGACCAGTTTCTTAAAAAGCAAAAAATGATCAAATTGCTTTACCGATACACATAAAATCACTGAAATTAAAAAAAAAAAAACTCATTTCTCTTTAGAGCATTGAGTTAATCAACAGACTTCAACATTTCCAGTCAAACTACAGCTTTTACCTTCAAGCTAATTACAAATGACTGCCAGATGTATGTAGTTTGAAATATGCTCTCTCTATTGGTTATAAACATGTATTTAAAAAAGTAGGTGTGAGTAGACAAGACGATTCAAAGAATGGAGTAGATTTGTAAAATATATTTATATCTCAGCAAATCAAAAAGGTGGTAAGTTATTATTTCATATTCTAGCTTTTCAACGTCTGAAGTTTGAGTTTCTAATCCATTAACTACTATAGATGTTCTAATACAATATAGACTGAGCAATAAGATAAGAGAACGTGCTATGTGACACAAAAAAGGATACTTAACATTTGTTTAATATGTTCTTTCAAATTAAAACATATATAATATTAAGATTTGAATTATAAACTGTGTTTTAATGTCAATTTTATGGACATACTTTGATAATAAAGTTAATTAAATTTTGAAAATAACTCTCTAAGATGTCGTGACATGCATTCTTTAACCTGTCTTTAGTGAGAGGGTTAATGTGAATTGTAATGGTGATTGTTAAATATTTAACACATTACTATCTTTAGTTAATGTGAATTGTAATGGTGATCGTTAAACATTTAACACATTATTTTGTATTACTTACTATCTTTATGTAATGTGAATTGTAATGGTGATCGTTAAACATTTAACACATTATTTTGTATTACTTACTATCTTTAGTTAATGTGAATTGTAATGGTGATCGTTAAATATTTAACACATTATTTTGTATTACTTACTATCTTTACTTAATGTAAATTGTAATGGTGATCGTTAAGTATCTAACACAACAGAAACTGCATGCAAGAGAGTTTACACAACAACCAGAAAGATGAGAAGAACAGAAAAACGAGTTGGGTCAAAGATACTGAGAAACATTTTACTGCAAGTGTTAATAATTGTTTGTTTTCTTTATAAAGCTATGCAGGCATAAAAAGTAAAATACCTTTGAAGAGGTCAACAGTAAGTCCACCACCAAATAAAAAGATAACTGGATGTCCATTGTAAGTAAGAGTGAAATCAAAGAATGGACTATAAACAGAGTCAATAAGGTACTGCAGGTTGGTGTGGAATGATTCAAGAACCTAACGAGATAACAAGAAATTAAATGAATTATTTGGCCAAGCAAATATCATCAGCTGTCTGAAAAACGTTTATTATTCTAAACACACATTTATGTACTTTCACTCATTATTAAGTCAATCTCCACCATACCACGACTGGTCAATTAATTGTACACTTTAACCTATTGTGTTGACTGCTCTCTAACTAAATACCACACAAGGTGATCAAAGTTCCAAACGGCAAGTTATGTGACTGGTCATTAATTGTACACTTTATCCTACTGTGTTGACTGAATGCCACACAAGGTGATCAAAGTTCCAAACGGCAAGTTATGTGACTGGTCATTAATTGTACACTTTATCCTACTGTGTTGACTGAATGCCACATAAGGTGATCAAAGTTCCAAACGGCAAGTTACACATGAATACCAATACTAATGATATTGTTTACACTGTTATGAAAGGTTGGATAATTATATCATAACAGTGTAAACAATATCATTAGTTAAGGTTGGATAATCATAAAACAATATCATTAGTTTTGGATAATTATATCATAACAGTGTCATTAGTTAAGGTTGGATAATCATATAACAGTGTAAACAATATCTTTAGTTAAGGTTGGATATTCATATCATTAACATATAAACTATCATTAGTTAAGGTTGGATAATCATATCATAACGGTGTAAACAATATCATTAGTTAAGGTTGGATAATCATATCATAACAGTGTTGTTTATATGTTAATGATATGATTATCCAACCTTAACTAATGATATTGTTTATATGTTAATGATATGATTATCCAACCTTAACTAATGATATTGTTTACACTGTTATGATATGGTTATCCAACCTTAACTAATGATATTGTTTATATGTTAATGATATAATTATCCAACCTTAACTAATGATATTGTTTACACTGTTATGATATGATTATCCAACCTTAACTAATGATATTGTTTATATGTTATGATATGATTATCCAACCTTAACTAATGATATTGTTTATATGTTAATGATATAATTATCCAACCTTAACTAATGATATTGTTTATATGTTAATGATATAATTATCCAACCTTAACTAATGATATTGTTTATACTGTTATGATATAATTATCCAACCTTAACTAATGATATTGTTTACACTGTTATGATATAATTATCCAACCTTAACTAATGATATTGTTTACACTGTTATGATATAATTATCCAACCT